GTAACCTGCATTAGTTTTGTTCATTAACTACTAATAAATGTGCAAGGCCCATACAGGAGTGTGGCGCTAGGTTTCAAGACCAATGAGCATAGCCTTACGGAATAATGGCACATTTTGAAACTTGTGCTTTGCCTTGATTCTGAAGGCTGCAAAAGACTGCATTTTTTTCTGGAAGCTGTATGCAGCCCTCTTTGCAACCGTACTCCACTGTTGTTTGTTAAGGAGGACAAAGTCTAGGGATGTCCTTGGCCTAATGGGTAAAATGAGTAACAGTTCAATGCCTTGATTTTGCAATGTTCTACTTTACCCAGGAACTATACATATTTCTTGAAATTACGAGTAAAGCAGATCATTGCAGAAGGGAGGGGAGGGGGCTTATAACGTCCAGCATATATTCAAGGGTAGCAAACACAAGTATCTTACTGCCTTATCGACAGTCAGCCCCACTGGTTTTAGTGCTGCTGATTCCCGGGGTGTGTGTGTGCTTAGGATTGCAAACCAAAGCAACTTGCTTGAAAGCATTTCCCACTAAAATCCATTGGAGGTTACTTCCACTTAATTGGCTGGACCCAGACTTAGTCATGTTTAGAGTAAAACCACTGAAATCAGTAGGAATTCAGGTAGTTGTGGCTAACCCAATTCCCATGGATTTCAGTGGGTCTGCTCAAAGTATGATATGTCTAAAACTTTAAAATTTCAGAATTCCGGAAGATGCACGGGAAGTTGCTGACCAAATACAAACCCACCCACAATCTCACGCTCACTACGGCTCCAATAGCAGAAACGCTTACTGATATTTTAAGGTATTTTAAAGCACCATGTACTATATAATAATTAATAATAATATGATAATATTTCATAGGTCCACAAATGTTTTAGACTTTAGAGTACCTTAACCCTGATGCTCATCTCTTTAATGCATTTTTAATGCTCTTTAATGGGACCGCCTCTCCTGTTATGTCCCACAGAGGAACTTACAGTCTTCAAACAAAAACATCCTGAAGGTCCCAGGCCACAGAGAGGTTAGGCTGGCCTCAACTAGAGCCAGGACTTTTTTTGGCTGTGGCTCCAATCTGGTGGAACGCTCTGTCACAAGAGACTAGGGCCCTGTGGGACTTGACATCTTTCCGCAGGGCCTGCAAGACAGAGCTGTTCCACCAGGCCTTTGGTCAGGGCACAGCCTGACACCCTCCTTTGGCAATATTCACAGAACTTTATCCTAATGGTTGTCATCAATTTGAGTTGAATTAATTTTAATGAAATGATTTTAGAATGTTGTATTGTTTTATTGTTGTTAGCCTGGCTTCGGCTGGGGAGGGCAGGATATAAATAAAAATTATTATTATTATTATTATTATTATTATTATTATTATTATTATTTCCTGTTTTTTTTAAGGTACAGTATTTTAAACCATTCTGTATAATGATACCACATGGCATTTGATAGATCCTGCAGTGCCATAGAATGCCTCTGCTTTTTCAGCTGGAAAGAACCTACTGTTCAGCCCTCAGATGCCTTTCTGACTCTTCTAAAGGTTATGAGAGCATGTGTTTCCAGTAGCTCTTGGCTAAAGAGAAGCAAGTTTTCAAGAAGGCTTGTTTCAAGCAAGACTAAATGTGGAGCAATCCTCACCCATCCATCCTCCAGCGATGCGTGACCAGCATAGCCAACAAATGCTGATGTAATAGCCCCCAAAGTACAAACACTCTCTTTTATTGTTGTTAAACAGGCCCACTATTCACTGCTTAGGTGGTCAGCTTGTTCCAACCTTTGACCTTTTACCAAAGACCCATTCCATTCAACTCACACTTTCCCCCTGCATGCCTTTGCCCTCTGTCACTGACTTCTGCATTTCGGATTGCTGTATGGGGCTAGTATTTCATGGGCATCTCAGATAAACTGGGCTTACAGATGAACTACTGTGTGCTTAAGATATGGCTGGATGCAAGCAATCATCTGGCTGACAAGAGGGCCCAGCTACAGCTGAACTCTTGAGCAGGGAAACGAGTGTCTTTAATTAAAGCTCACCTAGTGGAGCATATTGCTTAGCCACAGCATGAAAAGAAAATGAACGAGTGAGAAATACGTTAGAAGCAGACTGAAAGCAATAGGGAAAAGTTTTGAGCAAATGGCGGGTTTTGTCTGCAAGTTAGTTTTAAATTCTGCTGAGAAGTTAAACCAAATTGTTGTCTGATGCAGCAAAGCTGAAGGGTGTAAAGATTCCCCTCATGTCTCTAGCTATGCTCAGGGTGAAGAATTGCAGATTCTTGAGAGAAGACCAGGATCTTAAAAGGTATGGGTTGGTCATGGTTCAGCTTTAAATGGAGGCAGCAAAAGCCAAAGACCTACCAAAGCAACCTTACATGCTTTAAATTAGGTGTTACGTACCACAATCATTGGTGCACCCACAGCAGGGTTAGCCAATCATACCCTAAGCCAGGGGTCTGCAACCTTTAAGACAAAAAGAGCCACTTGGACCCGTTTCCGAAGAAAAAACAACAACTGGGAGCCGCAAAACCATTGCGACATTTAAAACAAATATATCTCCGGAGCCGCGATCCGACAGCGGGCGGGAAGGTGACGTCGGGACGGTGCGTGACTAATGCACGCACCACCCCCATGCGACGTCACAGCCAGTACAGCGCCCGCCACAGTGAGGAGTGTCGGGGCGCACAATGCGCCTCCTCCCCTCCCTAGTATCCGCCCCGGAGCTGCGGCAAAGATGTAAAAGAGCCACATGCGGCTCCGGAGCCGCGGGTTGCAGACCCCTGCCCTAAGCCATCATACTCTAAGCTATGTTATTGAGCCCCACCTCCCACTTTCCCAGATTTTTACTGGCTGCCAGTTGCTACCTTTGGTCAGGCAAAATAGGGGACTGGGGGGGGGCGGCGGCTAAAAATTACTTTACCTAGTGCAGAAATGACTTCAGAGCAACCCATTGCAATGGCACACAGGGTTTACAGTGGTTTATTCAATAAAAAAGAACAAAAGCACTATGATTTACAACTGTAAGAAAAATATTGCACATTGCATATATAGCTGGGACTCGCTCTCCGAGTCCAACCAACCCCCACCCTCTCTGCCCACGCAAAAGCGCTCTCTCCTGCACCAGACCCCTGCAAGCCCCCTCTTTTGCTCTCCGACCTATCGGCCACCCCCCTGCCTGCAGAAAACATGAGACCACTATAGCAGGCCCATGCACTGCAAACTCCCTCACTCTCCATGACCCACCCTCTGCCAGCACAGTTTTGAGGAGGAAGAGGAGCTTGAATACGTGAAAAAAGGCATCCCATTTGAAGTCCAAACAGGGCATGGGACAGTTTTCTCCAAAAAAGGACATTCACGTTTTTCTAGGGACGGTAGCAACCCTAGCTGGGGCTGATGAGAGTTGGAGTTGAACAACAACTGGAGAATACCCAGTCCTACGGAAACGTTTTAGATGCTCTGCTGGTCTGTCAGCTGTGAATCAAAATATGGCACAATGGGTTGTCCAAAGTGTGTCGTGTCATAAGGAATAGACATGCCATACTTTAATGCTATATAATGTGATGGTGCTTTGTTTCTGTAGATAACATGCATTCAAATGCACATACAGTATTGTACTGTATTTGCTGTTTTGCTTGAACAGATGTCCAGGCTAGCTAGCTTCCCATGAACCAGCATTACTATGAAGCCTGGCAACTCACCAGGGTTCAGCTACTGTGTCGAATTACATTTCTGGCAGCACCCATATCATTTCCTGGATTATCCTCCTACCCCAACCTATGCCATCCCTGCAAATACACATATTGAGTCTCCTCTGGCATGGCAGCAGTAAGAAAACAGAAGCCATCAGACTTGAGGGGAGGGCTGTAGCTCAGTGGCAGAGCATCTGCCTTGCATGCAGAATGCCCCACACATTCAATCTCTGACATCTCCAAGTAGGACTGGGTGGGACTTGCTGCCTGAAACACCCAGAGAGCTGCTGCCAGTCAATGTAAGGTAAAGGACCCATGGACAGTTAAGTCCAGTCAAAGGCGACTATGGGGTTGTGGCCCTCATCTTGCTTCCAGGCCGAGGGTGCTGGCGTTCGTCCGCAGACAGCTTTCCAGGTCATGTGGCCCTGACTAAACCGCTTCTGGCGCAACGGGACACCGTGGCAAGTGCCAGGAAACGCTGTTTACAGTAGACAATACTGAACTAGGCAGTCCTAATGGTGAGACCCAGTCATAGGCGCCGACTCCATGGGGCTTGAGGGGGCCCGAGCCCCCTCAAAAATTCGTTTGGGGGGGCTCCGCCCCCCCAATAATCTCGGGCGCCCCTCCAGCAGAGCGCCATCGCCGCCCCTCCCCCAGCCCAAAATGCACAGGGAGGGGCGGGCTGCATGCCTCCTGCCCTCCCTCCCGAGCAAAAGCTCCACCCAATTTCCTTTGGAGCTGATTAATAGGCGCAGCACGCTCTCCTCTATTCGCTCACGAGGAGGCGGCGCCACTTTATTTGCATATTCGTGAGCTTATTTATTATTCATGAGCTTTCCCGGGCCCCCCCAATATTTTTTACAAGTCCGCGTCCCTGGACCCAGTACAGTATAGACCAGGCAGCTTCATCACTTATCAGGCCCTAGCAAGTAGCATACGATTGTCCCCCGTCCTGAAGAGGCAGGAAAGTCTGGAGCTTATCAACACTAGCAGGATAGATATCAACATAAATACATACATTTATAAATGAATGAATGAATGAATGAATGACCTACAACCCTAAAGGCCTCCAAAATTAAAACGGGACAGAGATTTATCCAAGGCATGTGCCAGAATATGGGGTCTCTCCCTGGTCAAATGGAGCCAATGGAGCGCGTGGTGGCTTTTTTTTTTTCTTTTCTTCCTCCCTCCACCTCCTAACAAGAAGGGGAAATTTGAACACAGCACCAGCCGGGCGTTCGCGCTCACACGTGGGTGAGGCCGAGCGAGGCCCCCTCTCCCTCCCCTCCCGAAAAAGCCCCTCGCGCCTTCTTGGCCGGTACCTGCTGCCCGATTAGCATGAGCCACGCCCCCGGTCGCGCTTAGCCGCCCAATGGGAGGCGGCGCTTGGAGAGCGGGGCGGAGGAGGAGGGCACATGCGAGAGCTACGGCGCGGGGCGGGGCCTTGGGAGCGGTTGTGTTGTGCGGGTGGCGACGTTGGCCAGTCTAGCAGCGAGCAGCGTGTGTGTGAGCGAGCGAGCTGAAGAGACAGAGAGAGTTCAGCAGGCGGAGGGGATGCGGCGGCCGCTGCTGATGCCGCTGCTCCTCCTCCTCGCGCCCGGGGATTCGGAGCCGCCGGTAGCGACTTGGCGACGCCTCTGAGAGCCGCCTTCGCGTCTCCCCCCGCCCGACAACCCCCCCACCTCAGCTTTTCCTCTCAAGTTTGCCGGGTAAGGAGGACGGGCGGTTTCGGCTGAGGGGGAGCGCGCGACGGGGATTGGGTCGGCTGCCAACGTCTGTCAGTTCTCCCTCCCTCCCCTTCCCCTGAGGGGTGTGTGTGTGTGTGTTTTATTTTTCTCCTCAGGGCGCTCCGTCCCCACATGCAGTGAGGCAGGAGAGGGAGACTCTATGAGGTGTGAGGAGAGGAGGTTTCTCACGCCGCCGCTTCTTTTCTCCCCCTTCCCAAACTCTCCAGTCAGGCTCCGAGTTCGCTTTTCTGGGGGTTGTGTTACACACACACACACAGACACCCCGCCACACCACACCCCGCTCTTGACAATTTCCTTTTTCTCTCCCCGCCCTCGTTTCGGGTGCGTGTTTCCACACCAGCCACACTAGCCAGTTCCTCACCCCTCAAATCTCTGCCCTCCCCCCACCCACTCTGCCCTATTTTACACCACGTAGTTTGCTCAGTTACTATTTAGTTACAGCCAGCCCCGCTCACTCTCTCTTTCACTCTCCCCCCCCCCCCCGCGCCCCGTGTGTGTTTTGTAGCCGGAGCGTCGTCTCCTTTCGATTGTATTTAAATCCTGGGCATGGACAGCAGCAGCAGGAGGAGGAGGTGGACGTGCGATTTGGCAGCTGTGGCTGCTCAGGCATGGGCCGGTGAAAGGGGGCCCTGGACTGCCTTTTGCAGCTGGGAGGAGCGGTGCGCAAGGGGGGGGGGAGTGAGAGATTGCGGTCGCGCGCGCGCGCGCACCCCCGCCCGCGCCTGGCCAGGAATGCCAGATATTCCTTTGAAAGGGGTGGGGGCGCTCGGGCGCCTCCCTTGCTAAAAACGGGTGGGTTTATATGTTTCCAACTGCTCATACAATATGCTTGTCAACAATTATTCCGTTTAGTTTTTCTCCCCCTTTCTATTGGCTGTAACTTGCCTTGCCCTGATGAGGGAAACTTTTGCTGCTGCTTCCCGTCCTCTTCCCACTCACCCACCCCCCAATATGTCGACTAGTAACTCTGGGCATGGTTATGAGAACTGGGCAGCCGTATTGTATGCATTTGGTTTGGAGTCAGACCACTGTAGCCTGCAGGGCTGATTTATGCATGAACATGCATAAAGGGTTGACCCCAATGATAATTTAGGGACGTTATAGGTTGTTGGGGGAATGTAGGGACTTGCTTTCCTTCTTTTGGTGCAATTAAATATATATTGTCAAGAGTGAAGCTGTGCTCTTCTCTGATAAAGTATAAGGGAGTAATTCAAGAGTATATGTATTTAATCTTAAAACATCTAGATGAAAGTTTTACGGAAAATCCATATCTCAAAATAATATATGATGTAATAGTTGCAAGTAAGTCCTGAAAGCCTAGCTGTTCATGGAAATGTTATTTAATATGCAGTGTGCAGTTGACACCGTAAGATTCTAAAACAAGTGCATATATTCAAAACTAAATAGTTGAATAGTTGTCATCTTTTTAAGTGTTTGGGGTGAGAGTGAGCTCCAGATAACAAGCCTGTGATGAAGCATTTTAAACGCTTTAAGATGAGAATGATCCTTAATGCAGCTTGTCAGGGCTCCAAAATACAAAACCACAAGAGTTCTCTGTGTGTAGCAAGTTCTGCTTGTCACACTACTAGTCATTATGTTTTAAGAGAAGGAAATGGTTAAGTGGAAGGGTAAGATTGCAGAACAACTCTGCATATGGCAACTTTGGAAGGTTGCACAAAGCTTTTGCATAACAGTTTAAAGGGAACTTCTCCTAGTATGATCTTCTTTCCATAGGGTTCAGTGAACCAGGTTACATTGTTGACATGGTTGGTTTTCATAATTTGTGACCGCTTCTCAGTGTGTATTATCATGTAGTATCATGCATGTTGCTTTAAAACAAAGACTAAGTAGTTGCAGGTATGTTTATATGAAATGCTTAGGGGAAGTGGTCAGTTATCTGGCTTGGTCCTGCTTAAAACTATTGACTGTAAAAGGTCTGGAATTCAGATTTAACCCTAATTTCTTGTTTAATTATTTCTCCAGTAATTAATGAAAGTCATTTGTGAACCCAAACTGATAGGTGTTTTTCTGCCAAATCACAATTTCAAGTATTGCTTGCTTTGTAAAGCTGTGGGAGAGGCATAGATTACAGCAAAAGTGTTTGATCAAGTTAATGTGTTTTATAATCGGCTATTGACAAACCAAATCATCTCTTCAAAAAGCAACTGAGATTTATAAATCACTTTATATTTCAAAAATAAAAAGTTTCTTTTAAAAGCAGTAGTATTTCATCTTGCGTTTTTAACAGTATCTAGGTGTTCTGGGGAGAAAATTGGATTTAATTGATTGTGACATAGAAATTGATTAATTGAAACTTGTGTAAATGTCCTCAAAGATTTGGTTTAAAGATTTAAATATTACAATTTTTCTATGTGAAATACACAATTTCTTATTACTATAACTCCTTCACATTATTATCATTTTAATATTGACATGAGAATACGTTACCCATATCATGTACCTGCTAAAACTTCCACTTTGGCCAGTGCTCATGCTTCCATGAAATATGCAATCATTGCTATCTGCAGTTTTTCTATAGCATATATAGGGTGTGAAAACAGGATTTGCCTTATATATCAACTTTTTTCACAGATGCAAAATGTGAATCTGTAGTGCATACATCTTAGAGTTGTAGCAGGTGAAGTAACCTAACTTGTTTTGGTGGTGAAATGCATTGAAATGTGTATTTCAGTACTAAAGATGCAGGATTTTTTAAAAAAAATAAAATACACACACACCTTTAATTCTGGTGATACTGTGCTCCCCATATCTTTGAAAAGTTTTGAAATCAAGTTCCTTTGTGCTTTGGTATACAGCTTCAAATCTGGAAATGGCTTGATAAGAGTAGCACATTTTAAGATAATGCAGTGTGGAGTATATTTTCAAATACATACTACTGCTACTACTAATATTCTTTAGTAATTTTAAGAGTTTGTATGTGGGCTGTGTATGTTGAGTATGTGGGATTGTACTAATAGAACAACATTTTTAATATGAAAAAGGTATATTCAACAGCAGCATTTAAATAATGTTGTATTCCTGTTCTCTTTTCAACTGACTCATATTTGTTTCTGTTTTTTCTTCCCTCAGGACACTATTTTGCTTGGCAGATGGACCATAAGCAACACTGAATGTTAACTCTGGAAATTTCATAAGCTCTGCAGTGGCTGGGATGTTGCGACAGAACGGTGGTGGCAACAAGCGTGGTTTAGGATTAACCAAACTGTCTACCTCCAATTTCTTCACCATCTCTAATTCAGGAACCTGGGGGATGGGGCGCAGCACCAAGAGCAGTTCTTTGAGCAGCATTAGCTCCAACTCGGACTGCTATGACAGCACTATTGTGGACCCAGAGTACATCATGCAACTGGTGAATGATGTCAGGAAATTTGCAGATGTTCTACTTTATTTGAAAGAAGCCATTCTTTCAGAAGGTGTGTCAGCTGCTTCTCAATAACTCCCAATAGTTTGAAATGTATTTTTGTAGCTAATTTCTTACTTGCTAGCATATGAGCAAAGAAATGTTTAGAAGGAACAGTGGTTGTCTTCTCTTGAGTATATTTTGCGGTATACAGGAAGTTGTGGTTTTTTACTTTGCTAACTTCCTCTGTGAAACATTGAGCAAGTTGTTTTGTAAATGGGCACGTCATAAACAAAATTAAACTTCCCTTTTTTAAAAAAGAAACCTTTAAAAATTGGCATCTGGTAAAAATGGAAAAATGTTTAGACTCACAGACTTCTTTTGAGATAGATTTTTTTTTCTTGAGGGCGTAGTGGCACCATCGTTTGTTAAGCAGTGGCGAAAAGACTGGTGACAGTGTTGTAGCTTTGGATTTCCTGATTAAGCAGCAGAGGTTTGGACTAGATGGCTTGCAAAGCCCCATTAAATTCTTAGGATTCTGTTTCATACCTCTGAGCTAAATTATGCCAATCTTGCCATTGTTTTGGTGGATAGAGAAAGATACTTCCATTCTTCTTTGAATTCTGATGTAAATGGGTAAGAAGCAAGCTGATTATACTTGCTCTACTGGTGATGTACAGTAGTATGATTAAGACTAGGGAAGGGGAAACCTTTTCATCTGCAGATCCACATTTCCTTTTGGTCAGCTTTCTTGGGGCCATTTCTATTGATAGGTGGAGCAAGAGGCAAAAATGTGTGAAGCAATACCGTTGAACAGTTTGCTAGTTTCTTCGCACCCGCACATCCCCCTCCATCTAGGCAAGCAAGAAACATTATTGGAGTTCCATGAACACATTCCAGCCCTGTAAAAACACCAAATGAGGGTGCAAAACAGGGCTGGGGAGGTTTGTGTGACCTGGCGAAAGTTTTTCTTACAAAATACATTTAGAAGAAATTCATAGCCTATTTCAGGAGAATGCTTAAACAGTTGCTCTGTAAAATGAGTGAAGTAGGTCAGAGTAGCGCTTACTTGAAATGAGGGGGAAAATCCAACAGGAATAAATATAATTTATAATATCGCAGATGTTGAAACTTTCAAGTGGGGATACTGTTTCTTCATTGTATCCTCTGCGGAGTAAGAACTGAATCCTTCAGACAAGTACTTTTCAGTACTTAATGGAACATAATATTCATAATATAGGTAAATAAGAAGCTGGTACCAGCTAACCTGGCATGAATTCCTTTCTAG